CTCTACGCTGCCTATCCAAAAGAATGCGATGCGTGCCAACATATAAGCTCTGACTACGTCATCGCTTAAAAATCAAAATGACTGAGCAAGTGCCTTGGTTTCCCTGTTAATAGCTACGACCCTGCAATAAATATACAGATATTAGATTTTTCTGGATTTCAGAATACGTGCATACACGGTCTTTACACCCCTATTATTAGGACTGTGGATTTACCATTTATGTCCAAATAATTCGTGAGCCCCTACTTTGTATAAGCACGCTGCTGCATCAACCATCAACTCGAGATGCACTTAATTCAACTTCATTGTCTTCCTTTTCACATGGCAGGATTTTCAAATGGCCGTGATTTTAAAACTGCCTGAAACCTGAACGATAGGGGAAAAAGACAGAGTTTAGGGCAACGTGACGGCAAGCGCAAATGTATGTTACAACTGACAGGCTGCTGGAAACAGGAAAACGGCAGCAGGATTGGCCCTATGACTAATTATCCCGCCAAAAGTAACGCGGAAAAGCGTTGAATTTTTAATTCCATTTGTTCCATAATATTATTTTGGGTGAGAATTAGGACTGCAGTCTACTAAACAACAGTGTTAGCAGTGGAGCCCGGAGACTTAAAGTGGGTGCTCTGGAGCCCTGGAGCCCCACTTAATTGGGCTTGGAGCCCTAGAGCCCCACTGTTTAGGCCCGGAGCCCTGGAGCCCTAAAACCCTTTGGGACCCTGATCTATTCCGAGTCCTGCACAACAGGACCTGGCAATAACAGGTCAGCTCTACAAAATTCTCCTGTGTCCAGATTCTTGGCCATGAGCTGGTCTGGGTCAACATTTGGTGTGCGGTGTTCAACATATATCCTTTTCAGGGAACAATCCTACAAAAAAAAGGAAAAGAAAGCAAAATTGGTAGTTATTATAAGATTGACATTTTTTCTTTTCTTCTTTACGTTCACCCCCATTTGCTCAGAGTTGAGTTTGTTCAACACTGATCTATACTTCGCCATAAGAAAACATCGGTTACAGACGTGTACTTGTAATTAGTACACCGTGAACGTTACATGCGTTTCACAATGATATAGATGATGCAATCACAATTTCCCACATCAAAACACAAAGAACCCACCAAACAATCAAGTAACAAAACCACTTTTTCAATGTTTACTTATTCAAAGTCTACCGCAAGGATCCCGAAAGTGTGACCACTTTTAATTAATTAACATTCTTTAGTGCAAACCAATCAGAAGCCACGGATTGTTTCCAGAGAAAAAAACACAAAACGGTAAGCGATTCCGCCGCGATGATGAGGAAGCTGTTTTTCGAGGCTTCTGTATGTCAACTTTACAGTTTTGGCTTCGAAATCCTACTCTGGGCTTACTTTGCTACTTGACAGTCGAACTGTAAGTTTTCTAGCGGCATTACCTTACGGTTTTGAGTTTATTCTTGAAGCAATCTTCAGCTTCTGATTGGATTAAAACTACATGTTCCTTTTTAATTACCAGTCATATCGGTCATACTATGGCATATTCAACAAGGGTAAATAGAAAATACTTTTCACTGCATGCGTGCAGATATCTATACAAAAGAAATTTGCTTCAAATGGTTCGTTTTTTTCAGAATACGAGACTAAATTATAAGTTCGCAAAGTTGTGTTCGTGTTTGCGGAAAACCACAAAATTTAGTCTAAACAAAAATATTGTCTTTTTGTCTGATTGAAGTTATAAAAGTGAAAACATGACATTCCTCAGATTCACATTTTTTCTTAGCACAATTTATTGCGAAGTTCACTTTGTGCGTACGTCTTCAAATCTCTGCGTATTCATAAACACATAACATAATATCGAACGGTTTCCACTTGATTGTCGAAAAGTAATTGGTTTTGCGTTTCCGTGCTACGCTATTGCCTTAAAAAAACTCGCGCCACTTTTTGATCCAATCAAAAGTAAGACCAAAACCAATAGTGACTCAGTCACACACGTTTTCCCGCGTCAGTTACATGCATTCTGTTCGAGTTTTGATTGCTTCACTGGATTGTCTATTTCCTTTGTGATTGGCTCAAGTGATAACTTTGCTTGTGGTTCTACGACACTTAATTGAAAAGATCGCTAATAATCACCTTAAGGTAATTGATCGCTGCCTGAGTGATCATGGAACATCCTGATGCATATATTTCTTTAAGAGTTGAGGCGCAACAGTTGGCAAGTGCAAACACAGAACGATCTGTCAAACCTGACACCCCAGACAACACAACCTCCTCCAATGGACACATACGTGCTAACTCGCAAACACCTGCATCTGAAACCTTTTCCAACAAAACGCATACATTAACATAATGAACCAACCTCCCATACTGAAAGGTTACATGTCAAATGGTCAACGTGACAGACAGAAGGCACATACATCATATATTGAGTGGCCTGGATACACTAAATAATATCACGAAATCTACCTAATAACCTGATACAGTGTACTAAGAATGTTCACGTACATGGTACAGTTAATCAACTTGGTATGCTGGAAGGGTCATATAAAGCATGCAGCCTAGTACACCAGGCTGCAACAATGCAATCGGTGGATGGAAAATTTGTTGTTCGAGAGTTGAAGGCTTCTGTGATTGCATTAATTCCCAAATCGTTGTCAATATTGGGAAACCTCTTCATTTTAAATCTAAGAACGTAATTTATTTGATCACTTGTAACAAATGCAATGTTCATTATGTAGGATCCACAACCAATGAGTTTAAAGTCAGATTTCGTAACCACAACTCAGCCATGAGTACAAAGAAGAACACTTTTGAGGTTGCGATACACTTAAACAAGGAAACTCATGTCTTGTCTGATTTTGATTTCATCATTGAACAAATCTGAAATTTCAATGATCACAATAGCCTCGACGATCGCTTGCTAGGAGAAGCTTTCCGGAGTGCACAACTTTGCACCCTTCAACCTCACGGTTTGAATAAAGAACTAGGAATAGAATTAGATAAAATTAACACTTCCAAATTTTTTTTTTACCATCCACAAGTGTGCTCCTTTCTGAGTCGTTATATTTTTTTCAGATAATTCATTTGATTAATCGTTCATAGGCTCAATCAAGGATTTTGTTACAGGGCTGTACACAACCAGTACAATAACGGAGTTCTGTGGCCGATAATTAGGATTGTGTTGTGTTCTTGGGCAAGACACTTTACTCTCACAGTGTCTCTCTCTCCGCCCAGGTGTATAAATGGCGGCGAACTTAGTGCTGGACTTAGTGCTGGACTAGCATCCCATCCAGGGGGGAAGAGGGGGAGTAGAAATATTCCCAGTTTCCTCATACTACGGAAACCGGGATAAGCTCCGGCCTGATGGGCCACTTGGCCCGTATGCAGACTTTACCTTTACTGTTAACCTCCATAAAAATTGAAAAGAAAATAGCTCTAGATAACAGCACCCTTCATTTTAAAAAGAATTAGAACCCATTAAAGGACGTACTCCAGTATTAAAATAATTAACTATAATCTAACGAATTAACTTTAATTAATTTTAGGTATTAATATAAGCATATGTATAAGTATACGTAAGGACTGTCAGTAGTGTAAGTTGTAACGATTTAGAGCGTAAGCGTAACGGTATCCTTGTAAGGTAAGAATCGAAAGATTATTGTAAAGAATATCGAAAGATTATCGAAAGAGTATTGTAAACAGTGCAAGTAGTCGCTTAAAATATTGTATTGTAAGTAGAGTACTACGATGCAATTAAGTATTTTGCAACAATAATAACAATAACAACAACAACAATAATAATAAGTATAGGTAACCATACGGTGTTTCTCGATCAATTTGGAATCAATTTGCAAGAGTGTTTCAGAAAGCTGAAATTGCACCAGCCGCTTCGGCGAGTGTAATTTCAGCTTTGTGAAAAACTCACAAGTGCAAATTAATTCCAAATTGAACGAGAATAACCGTATGATTACTTATTAATAACATAAACATGAAAAAATTCGCTTGAAGGAAGTGCCGGAAGATCTTTCTTGACGCCGTTTTTTCAAGAAACCTTTTTTCAAAGTTCCCGCACAAAATTTTCGTCATAATTTTACGTGATATCATTAGCTTAGAAAATTTCCTTTAGTCTTTCAGCAAATCATAATACAAAATTACGATGTGTAATTTGCACCTGTGTTACACTTTTTGCACTTGTGTTGCACTNACCTCCATAAAAATTGAAAAGAAAATAGCTCTAGATAACAGCACCCTTAATTCATTTTAAAAAGAATTAGAACCCATTAAAGGACGTACTCCAGTATTAAAATAATTAACTATAATCTAAAGAATTAACTTTCATTAATTTTAGGTATTAATATAAGCATATGTATAAGTATACGTAAGGACTGTCAGTAGTGTAAGTTGTAACGATTTAGAGCGTAAGCGTAACGGTATCCTTGTAAGGTAAGAATCGAAAGATTATTGTAAAGAATATCGAAAGATTATCGAAAGAGTATTGTAAACAGTGCAAGTAGTCGCTTAAAATATTGTATTGTAAGTAGAGTAACTACGATGCAATTAAGTATTTTGCAACAATAATAACAATAACAACAACAATAATAATAATAAGTATAGGTAACCATACGGTGTTTCTCGATCAATTTGGAATCAATTTGCAAGAGTGAGTGTTTCAGAAAGCTGAAATTGCACCAGCCGCTTCGGCGAGTGTAATTTCAGCCTTGTGAAAAAGTCACAAGTGCAAATTAATTCCAAATTGAACGAGAATAACCGTATGATTACTTATTAATAACATAAACATGAAAAAATTCGCTTGAAGGAAGTGCCGGAAGATCTTTCTTGACGCCGTTTTTTCAAGAAACCTTTTTTCAAAGTTCCCGCACAAAATTTTCGTCATAATTTTACGTGATATCATTAGCTTAGAAAATTTCCTTTAGTCTTTCAGCAAATCATAATACAAAATTACGATGTGTAATTTGCACCTGTGTTACACTTTTTGCACTTGTGTTGCACT